AAAGTTTCATTTCCGATGTGAGACATTCTAACAAAACTTTCTTGTGGAAACAAAATGAATGCAAGAAACATTTGTATTGTTAAATTGGGATAAAGATGGAAACTTTTGACTCTTACTTTAAGTTGTCTGTGTGCTCGAGTTTCCGGCTACCGGTGATATTACTCTCATCATCTGCGGTTTCGAAGAGCAAAGACTTATCCTCTGGAACCTTAACACTTATCTTCCTGAAAGCCGCAATTATAACCTGAAATATCCGTGTGAGAGGACTCCCTCCGGGCCTCTGAAGACGGTAAAACCGGCTTCCGAAAAAGAAAAACATAACCGCAATAACCATGGCAACTGTCGGAACACCGAAACCCCATCCCCAACCAACATTCATTTGTATCCAGACAAGAACAGTAGCAGCAATGAGAGCTCCAACATTAATAGAGAAGTAAAACCAATTGAAGAAAGAACTTTTCTTCAGCTTCTCAGCCTCATCATTCTCATCAAACTGATCCGCTCCAAAGGAAGAAACACACGGCTTTATACCGCCCGTTCCAAGCGCAATCATATAAAGCGCAAGAAAGAAAATAGCGGTCTGACCGGAATTCGGATGACAAGTTTCGCCGTTGCAGTTACCCGGTTTAAGTCCAGGAACTGAAGCTGATATTGTCAAAAGAGTCATACCCTACAAAGACAAGATAACAAAATTCATTACTTCCACCTTAAAAACGACATTTTACTCAACCAATTCGAGGAAGTAAAACTCACGGCGACATAGATGAAAACAAAGGTTGCAATAGTCCAATATCTTCCAAGATAAGCATCAGCTATAAAAGCTCCAATCAATGGAGTTATATAACATGTACCAGACCAATTCGTTGCGTTATTCGCAGCCGTAGCATTGCCTTGATTCAAACGATCCTTAAGATAATTCACAAGGTTAGTCCCCATTCCATAGTAAGCCAATCTTTCACAACATTCAGTACCTAAGACAAGAAACAAACACACAAAAAAAAACACTTATCAAAATCTTTCTATGGCACTAAGAAACAAAACCAAGTTGTTGCTAAAGGATAAGATCGTTACCGAGAATGAAGCGGCAAGCTTTCCAGTTTCCTGTTTTCTCCTTGTTTGCAGGATTTTTGTGAATATCGACAGTTCCATCTTGCGTATAAACATCTTTTTCTTCCATAATCCTTAAAAAAAGTTTAGATTTTTCAACAAAACGCACATCTAGAAATCCCAATTCAAGCTCAATACTTCAAGGTATATGTATGTATGAGTAAACCCTTATATATTTCAAGTAACTGAGACATTTGGTCACTAAAATTTGTTAGAATTACAGATTTGACAAATGAATGAACAAGTAGATGCTTCGACCGGAATAAGAAGATAAGGTAAGTACAAAAATTCATGCTCTGTAAATTCAAGTTTCTGGGTTAAAAGCAAAGTACTCAAATGAGCTAAAGGATAAGTTATAAGAAGATTTTACTCATCTATAAACAGAAGTAATGAACGGGAAAAACTTAAAACCTAAACTTTAAGAACTAAAAAAAAGACAAACCTTTTGTCTGAAACAGAAGTCGACGGTGGCGGCGACGGCGGAATCAGCGGCGGAGATAGAAGACGATTAGTGTTTTCTCGGAAAGAGTAAAGAGAAAAGAAAAAAGAGTCGTTCTCTGTAGAATTACACGGCACTAGTTGGAGTAATGAGTATGAGCTTGAAAAGTTGAAGAGCTCTGTTTCCACCTTTTATATCCAAGAAAATAGAAAGGAGCGTTCTTCTTCACTTTTTCTTCCATTGTTTTGCAGTTTTATCCTCTAAGTTTTGTAAATTTCAATAAGAGCCGCAAATTTTTTGTGCTCTACGTTATCACATTTGGATATTGTTTTGTTTTTGACTCCAAAGTGTAAATAAGTACATATCGAAGGATGTGGCAATAAATAAAGATTCCTCCACCCAACTTTAGTGACTTAATAATTGACTTCTCATATTAAAAATAAGAAAGATACAAGTGTGAAAACTAAAGTTTAGTCATAAATAAAAGAGAATTTGGAATTTTCTTTTAAAAATTGTGTTCATACTTCCTAGGAATATGTATTTTATCTATATATTTATTTTGAGCTAAGAATTGGTATCAGTTTAAAGAAATTGGCGAAAGAGGTCTAATAAAAACTTGTTTTTTAATACAACATTGGAAATGGACAATTGCTTATAAATAACCATTGATCTAAAGATTCACCAAGAACGAATATTGAAAAATGCATGTGACTCGGTGTAGCTGGATCCTATTATCTACGAGGATTTGGCTGTATCTCGACTTAGTTGTTGACTTAAACTCTTTCATTTCCAAATGATTAACTATTGGAGTATTTAGTTGATTCTTATATATACCCAAAAAAGACAAGTAAGAAAAGTATAATTACAAACTAGGAAAATGAAAAAGAAAACTTAATTCATAAGAGATTCATTTAAAAATAATTTGATCAAATTTGATGTTTATATAAAACTCTATATTTTAACGATATACAAACAAATTTCCAAAAATTAACGATGTTCAATTGAGAAACTAAACGTTTTTATTATTTAATTGAATGAACGTTTTTAATATTTTCAGAAGAAAAAAACATCGAAACTCATAGCATTTAGCATGCGTTTTAGGTGAGTGAATGTTTTTCTCAAATTTTTCCCATTAAGAAAAGACTCATCCTTACTTCACGCTTCTACATTCTCGTTTTCTCAACTTTTTTGCATCCTTTCTAAGAGTGTAAATGGGGACACTTAAAAAAAATTCTGTCAAATTCAGCTAGATTCAGCAATTCCGAGTTACCATTTGCAATGTAAAAAAATTCTGTCACATTCAGTTAGATTCAGCAATTCAACAAAAAATATATTGCAAACTTCAGTTGAATTCAGCGAGATTCAATAAATTTTTCCAACACCAAATGTGTTTAAATATATTTATTTTAGATAATAGATTGGATAAAAGCATATATTTGAGTTAGAAAATACATCGAATATATATATATATTTTTAAAATGAATTGGATAATATGATATGAATATAACATATATGATTTCAGATATTTAAAATTATTATCAAACACGTACAGATTTAATCATATTTGGATAGTTTATGTAATTACAAATAATTTTGGATAATTTATAGATATTTTTGTTTGAAAAAATTAAAATAATTATTGTAATTTTGGAACTTTTAGATAATTTAGATAATTTTATTACTTTTAAAAAAAAATTTGTTCATGTATTTTAAGTTTATTTTTTTTTTGTATGGTTCGATTCGATATTTAAGTAATTGTTTGTACTAATATAATTTAAAGAAAACTATAAGAATATTTTTTGTGAACTG